TTTTTTTTGAAAAATTTAATTAACAGTAAACAAGATTTAATATATAACTGAAATTTTGACCTAATATTCTGAATAAATATATAGTACAAATATTTATTTTCTATATTTGTTATTTTCATATTAATTTAAATATGAATTTAAATATTAATTAAATATGAAAGTATATGTATATAATAGTATGTATATTTATATAATGAAAATTAATTTTATATAACTTTTATCTGTTTTATGAAGGAAATATTTTGATGTGCACCAAAGCAACGAAGATGGCATCTAAGTGATTTCAAAGTCAATTTTTTTAAATCTTTTTAAATGAAATATGATTCCACTCTATCTATATCTCTTTAAATGAAATATGATTCCACTCTATCTATAACTCTATCATGTGAATATGTAAGATGCAAGGAAAAAGGTACGATAATCTTGTGTGAGTATTTGTCCTTGGCTTTTGCGCAATGGATTTTATAAAATTAAAATTAAAATATTTACTAAAGTAATAATTTTTCGATACATTAATACATTTTTATAGAAAATGTCGAACTATATCCATTAAAAAATATATTTAATCCATTTAATTAATATATCTATTCTATTTAAAAAAAGTGAACTTGAAATTTCGAAAATGTCTCAACTTATAACGTTATTGTATACATTAAAATATTTCTTCTCTGAAATAGAACATCTTCTGTTTGAACGACTTTTTTCGTATCTCCATTTTGGAGAAAAATCGATCATTTCATAAGAATCATTCTATATACGGAAATATATACTAATAATATGTACTAATTTAAATTAAACTTTTCTGAAATGCTTCTCCCTTTATGTAGAATATAAAATTTATAAAAAAAAGAAATAAAATGTTTTAATATGTATAATTGCAAGTTGAAATAACTATGCATATGTTAACAGTCTTTTGCTATTGAAGTAAGCATGTGCAAGTATAAATAAAGAAAAAACGAAAGAATGTGCCTGAGAAATGTACTCAATTTGCCAGAAGCAAAGTTTTGAATAAAATAATTCTTTGATGTTCTCTGATATAATTATTAATTTTTCAAACATTAAAAAATCTACAAAAATTATAATGGGAATACTTAATTTCAAATGATACTGTAGCTATAGTATCATTAACTAAGCATAAAATAGAAACGATATTAAATGGAACTTCGTGTCTGACGAAAAAAAATCAGTATTTCTTATGCTTTCCCCGATTTGATACAGTAAATACAGAAATTATATTCAACTTAATGTCGAAAGCAATAAAATCAATAGCATAGGTATTTACATAGGTGTCAATATGAATAAAATCGGCGAAATTTCTTACTTATTATTTCTTGGATTTGGCTGAGATTTTAAAAGAGTTCATTTGCATAAAGACCTTTTTAGTTAAATCGAAAGTGATAGATTTTAAGAAATACAACCAAAAAAAGTAACTTCATGCGAAGAAAACTTATGTTTATTTAATTAATTTAATTTAAACAACAAAAAGTTGTTTAAGTAATGACGATGTATTAAAGTGGGAAAATATTAAGAATATAATAGATTCTGCATGAATTAGAAATTAAATCATAATACAAATAAAGATATATATATATATTATAGCATAGAAGTCTATATCTTCTAGAATTCTATCTTTGCAATTATGAGATATCACCTGTGAATATATATCTTATTTATACTATATAAATAATTATTTATTTGTTCTACTGTAATTCTACTGTAATTTGTAGTTTTATATCTCATTTGTAATTTCATAGAAAAATTTTCAGTATGGTTTTAATTCAAACCTTCAAATCATACTGAATCGACAGCGTGTCGCATGTGATATGAAAATGGTAAGATCATTAAAATCCCCGAAACGTATGATGAAAAAAACGTATTGACAAAAAAAAGCATTGTATATTAAGTCTATTCTGTGTTTAGTTATATAATACAACTATTTAGGATACAAACATTACAAGACGAAGATACAATAATGTCGACGCCTGCGCGAGGAAACGGCGGCTTGTCCATTAGGTTTCGCCAACAATTTCCCATTTCCAGTTATCGATGGAAAAGACTGGCTGTCACTTCAAAAGCGTTTCATCGTTAAAAATTACAATGCTAAATGTGTGGTGCTCGCTTTATGCCATCTGAATATAAAAAATATCGAATTGCTTTATCTTCAAAAGAAAAAATTATAAGTATTTGTAAAAATAGATAAAGAATGGAAATATAAAAATTATTTGTAAAAATGTGTGTAAAGTGATTTGCAAAGATTGCTATGTGCTTTGTATTCAATTTAATTATAGTGAATACCTATCAGCGAGCATTTTTTTTTTTTTGGTATACTTATTTTGATTGATTTAATAAGAGCGTGGTACAGTTGTAATTATCAAACACCAGCAATTGACATGTATAATTTTCTATGATTGATTTGAAATTTTAACTTCTTGATTTCTTTCTATTTGATTACTTGTTTTGTTTTCACTTTCGCTTCTCGTATAATAACGAAGCAGATATATTAGTAAAGACTAACGCTTAAGATAATTAACAAGTGGTTCAAGAAAATAATAAATCTGAATTTTAATTTTAACAAATTAACATTCAAAAAATTACATTTCTTTAGAAACGAAATATTCTATAATAATTTAATTCTTTAATCATTTTTTTTTTTTGTACTTCTGATTGAAACACTTACTTCGAAGATTATCATAGTATATCATAGATAATTCGACTATTATCATAGTGAGTGAGTAGTCAATTTAACGCATAAAAATGTTCTTCAAAACTTGAACTAGAAAGAAAGAAGGAGAGAGAAAGAGAGAGAAGTTGAGTGAAACCAAATGCAATAAATAGGTAAATATGTAAATAATAAGAGTAGTAATAAGTTAAAGAATTTTTCAATCTTTTCTTTTATAATTGAATAATTAAAAAAATATTTTTTCAACTGGACATATTGAATGTAAAAGATTTTATGTAATTGGCATTGATCGAACTATTCGTGATCACGCAATATCGTTCTATTTTTGGGAAATGTTTTCAACTCGGTAACCTCGAGAAATGCCAGATTTCACCATTTTTAAGATCGGTGAACGGAATACAGAGGTGAAAATTATTAAATGAACAACAATCAGAAATGTTCAGAATAATCAGAATAATATGTATTAGTTTATAAGTAATATTATATCGACGATTTTTCTATTCAATCAGTAATCTTACATCAAAGTTGCCTGCGATCGAAAAAAAGCAAATTTAACCATCTGTACAAGTAAATTAATTATTTCTCATTCGCCTAATTTATAATTATTGATTATTGCAAACAATGTAAACGACAACCAAAATATGTTTTCAGCTTATGACATTCAGTTTTACTATTTCATTCTGCCAATTCGATTAAAAAAACTCGAGGGGAAAAGAAATTCGAAATGGGAAGAGATAGAAGAGAAAAAGAACTGCAAGATTTTGAAACGATTTGTGTGAAACAAAGATTGGAGTAAAAATCGGTGTTCGGGAACAGAACGATAGAGAGATATGGATGATCCCACGATTTTGTCAAACACGACTGTCATGGAAGCATGGTCGACTACTAGACAACCTATTACCGAGAATGATATAACTTCGAATAGTTTTGTACAATTAACCTTTTACATATTTTATGCAAATATTTTTGCGTTGGGTGTGTTTGGTAACATGTTAGTATGTTTCGTCGTGGCACGAAATCGGCAAATGCAGACAGTTACGAATCTGTTTATTACAAATCTGGCATTAAGCGACGTGTTACTTTGTGTTTTGGCGGTTCCATTTACTCCTTTATATACGTTTCTCGGAGGATGGATATTCGGAAGGATCCTTTGCCACTTGGTGCCGTATGCACAAGGTGTCAGCATATATATCAGCACGTTGACTTTGACGAGCATTGCCATCGATAGATTTATGGTAATCATATACCCGTTTCATCCTCGTATGAAGATCAAAGTTTGTTTAGCCGTAATCATTAGTATTTGGATAATCGCATTGCTAGTAACCTTACCATACGGGCTTTATATGTACCTCGAGGAGCCACATATTTATTGCGAGGAACATTGGCCGGATGAACGATTTCGCAAAATCTTTAGTTCTATTACTTCGATACTACAATTTGTCTTACCCTTTTTCGTCATCGCTTTTTGTTATACTTGCATCTCAATCAAGTTGAACAATCAAGCTAGAATGAAACCTGGCATCAAAACTAATGAAAGGGAAGAGGTTGACAGAGAGAGGAAAAAACGAACGAATCGGATGTTGATTGCCATGGTCACTGTATTCGGCGTATCTTGGCTACCGCTCAATATCATTAACGTTATTGACGATTTTTCTTCGCAAGCCAATGATTGGACCTATTACAGACTCTGCTTTTTCATGACACATTGTCTTGCTATGAGTAGCACCTGCTACAATCCTTTCCTTTACGCTTGGCTCAACGATAACTTTCGCAAAGAATTTAAGCAAGTACGAATCTACCTACTTTGTATTCTTCTATTTTTTGTTATACGTGTCTTTGTTTAGAATTGAAATTTCGTTGAATTTTTTAAATTTTCTTGATCTTGTTTCTCTTTGCGCTCTCTTTTTTCCTTTTACTTTTCCTTCTGTTTTCAAAGGAACCGATGTAATAAGATATTTTGTTTTACCTAGGTGTTCCCTAAATCTTTACTAACGAATTCAATGAATCTCATGTTATATTTCATCTTTTTCAATCAAATTTCTTTTCATTTTACACGTGTATTGTGCGTACATCCACGTGTATAGACTTATATAAAGTGTTCTGAACAAAACTATCGGGTAAAGAGTATATGTTATTCGTTTAGAGATTCTATTCTCGAATTCTGTTTATTTTACAATTCTTGTAAAGAGAGGTCTTTAAAATCACTATGTGATTTACAAAGAATGAACCTCTCTTAAGTTTCAGTATTTATGCCAACAACATTTTTTTTAAACCAGTTATAACAATTGTTATATGTTATTAAGTCAGTTTAAATTGTTATCAAATAAATACAGATGATAGATATATAGAATTACAAATTTATTAATTAATTCAAATTAAACGAATAAAAATACCTAATATGAATAATATTGTACATTTTTATCGATTTGAAACTAAGTGAGTGTAGAATAAAATATAATGTCACCA